TAGTAGGTTCTTAAGGGCTTCTTAAGCTGCCTGGACTGGGCATCTGTTGCTGACAAACCCTCGGAGAGCCTTCTGAAAGCGGGCGGTGTTGCGTTATGAACTCCTGGCGCTCCGCCCATTTGCTCCGATCGCTGCTGGTTTGCTGTATTCAATAAAATACAATACAAGTTTATCAGTGATAAGCCAACCAGCACTCAATAATAAAATCACCTGGAGGTAATCTCACAGCATTTGAATGTCACAGAAACCTTTACATACATACATACATGACTTGCTGTACAAAACAGCTAGCTTTTACCGCAACCACTCCTGAACCACACTAAGCATTACATTATTACAACAATGCTTTGTGAGGTGTTATAACCTAACATGTAATTTATAGACCACATAAAGTTTTTGTTGTTGAAAAAAAAAGACCTGAAAGGATTTTAAACTCGCAAATCAGCGTACCACAGTCTCGTTGTCTAAAGACACAAAACAGGAAGTTAGTGATCTTCTCCCTGTGTAGCACTTCTTTTCACTTGGGGCAGGTTGCTTTTCTTCAGCGCACAATCAAATTATATAACAGGTACATCTTGCCTTAATCTCACTTCCCCTTAGCTGTATGATCAGTGATTATACCCTGCTGCTATCACCATTAACTACACTGTAATGTGCAGTCCTGTGCCAACAGATGCATGACTTCCACTTTAGTCATTTTTCTTTAGAAAACCCGCCTTCTCCAGTATCTTTTCATCACCACAGCAGCATAACAACATTTCCCCATCCTTAGTTTCCAGTGGAGCCAGAAGCTATAAAAGACTTATTTGGAGTCGATGGATGTGTGCCATGTGGCAGGGTTGGACTCTGGCACTCCGTAATGTTGTTAGTGAGCTACTCAACCAAGGCATGGGTTACACAATCGAAAGCCGCTGTCTGCTTCCTCTTTCTCCTCCTCCTCCAAGCACCGTGTGCTTTATTTCCCCGCATCAACGAATCCACTTGAAGCTATTGCAATCAAATGGTTTGGAAGGACGCCTCACTGAAAGGAGGAAGAAGTGGTTTATTGCAGCCATGGATTCTTGGATGAGGCAGTGCAGTATGAAAGTTTTCAGACCTTGTGGTTGTTGTTCATCTCTGTCTCACTTCCACAGTGCGTCTTTGTCCTGTCTTCCTCCCCTCATGGCAGATGGCTGTCCTCCCCTAAGCCTTGTCCTGCTAGAGGTTTCTTCCTGTTAAAAGGGGGATTTTCATTCCCACTGACACCAAGTTCTTCTTTTTAAGGGGGCACAATGTAAAGTGCTTTGAGGCGACTGTTGTGGTGATTTATAAATAAAACTGAACTGTCAAGTTTTCCACATTTTGTCAAGTTCCAATAATCTCAAATTCGATTCTGTCCTCCTGGTGCCAACCAGCATTTTACTGCACAGCTTCTGCTGCTCTTCTTCACAGGTATCTTTAACCTTTGCCCTTTTCATTTCTCCATCCGTATGAAAGAGCTTGAATTCGTAAACAATGTAGCCACACATGTTCTAATGATTAGTTTCTACCCAAGCGATTAAAATGTAAACAATATAAACTTTATCATAAATAGCAATACTGCAATAAATTCTTATTCTGTAAAAAAGGGCAACCAAATGGTACGAGGAAGCAAATAGTCAACTATGAAAAATGAATTGAATATAATGTCTCCATGTA